GGGGGGGGGAAGAGCAGTATGTTTCAAACATCCTAAGGTTTTATAGGCTGACTTATCTGGGCACACATCTGCGCTCCCAAAAGCTCCTAATCCTCATAGCAATTTCCTCTTGCTTGAAAGCAAGATTGTTCAGACAGATGAAACAAGCCATACCCCACATTTAGGGGATCTGCTGTGATTAATCATTATTTAAAGTACATGATACACAGAGCAGTTTGAGAAATTTATCAAGCAAAACATATTTATACAAAGTAGTAATGGAAGAACTGCAGAAAAGGAACAAATTGATTAACAAAATGGAAACAATTTTTCAAACCAAAACCAAGTGCTAAACTCCCCGCATCCATTCTTCGCTGTGAACACTTTTGCCCAGCTACGTGCACCAGGGACATTTTTCCCTTCTCGGTCTTCATCTCTGGCAGACAGCTGGATGCCTCCTGCAGTTAGTTATTACCAAACCAACCGGTTTTCACGCTAATATGTGCCAAGTTCCAGGAGCTTCATGTAAGTTTGACTGAGCTGCAGCATATTCAGCCACTGGCGGCCAGTTATGCCCAGTCTCCAGAGTCACAGAAGAGCAAGAGTAAAATCAGGCTCACATCATGTTGGGTGATGTTCCTCCCGGGGCTCCTTGGCTGGTACCCCATGGCACATGCTGGGGAACACAGTATGCCAGCCTCCTGTCAACTGAGAAGGAGGAATAGTAGATAATCACTTATATGTAAGTCACTGATGACTATTTCATTCAGATGAAAAGCTTGAGGTTTATTTCTCCCACATCCACTGTTTGGGAAGGATTGAAACAAGAGTTTCCCAGCATGCCAATGAAGTCTCTGCAGGCTGGAAAGGTTGGTCCTGAATGTAGCAAATAACGGGGCAGGTTTTTTCTGGGATCCTCAGCTGAAGAGCAGCAGCTCCCAAACACAATAAATCACTTCAATCACCAGCTCACTCTCCCTGAACAGCCTCAGATTTGCAGGTTTCAGTAGCTCTCCTAGAAAGGAAGTTGGAAGCAGTGCTCCCCAGAAATCATCTTGAGTGATGGATCTATCGGGACAAATGCCTGCAATACAGACCAGGGAGAAAAAGCCACGTGCAGTCATTCATGTGCTAGTTCAAATACCGAGGAAAAGAAATACTAAGAAACCCAAAGAAAAAAACAAAGAAATGGAGGACCAGGTTCCTCTGCTGACTGTGGGTCCTCCAAATCCTTCTTAGTCGATTAAAACCAGCTTTCAAGATTTCTAGACTTCAGAACAAAGGAAAATCCTTTTCTGCAGGAAACATGTTCATAATTATGATAGAAACAAGTCCAAAAGAACCCCCAAAAATGCAGTATTGTGACTGCCAGTGCCTGAGAAATCTTGGATATGAAGGGACTAAATTTGTAGGAGTTTAACCAAAATAAAGAACCTTAACCACAGAGGATTTTTTTCTGGTGATAGGTTAACTTTGCAGCAAAGTAGCAAAACTACAAGACTAAAAGTTTCTTTTTGCCACGTGCTCAAGCTTAGGCTCCCATCCTGTCCTCCTCCAAGGATGGGAACTCTAAAAGGGCTTTGCACTTCCGCTGCACTCCACACATGGTATTAGACCTTCAAAAGAGGTACCGCTCTGAGGAGACTTGGGAAGGGTGGAAAACAGGCAGTGATAAACTTGACACATTTCACAAATATAATGTTTTTCTACACGCAGCCACCATTCCAATATTTGCAACCACCCCAAGGAGCAAACACCACTCAGTGCCCCAACACCAATTTCAACAGCGTTCTGCAAAGCAGTTGACCCCGCTCGCTAATGCGGCGAGTAACTCCAGAGCGTTGTCATACCGAGAAGACCATTTGCACCCAGCCTTTTGTGGTCATTGCCAGCAGCGTGTGCCAGAGCCCTCCTGCCTAATCCTAGTTTTTACACTGTTTATGTTAATTTGACAGCTGCTCTGACCGAGTGAGCAGGTCGTTCCCTCCCCATAAATGGTGGTTGCTTAAAATAATCAAACCCCAGCATGAGGGAACCAGCAGAAGCTTGCAGGGTAACATGGAAAGCTAGGAAGGGCCAAGCTAAAATACAGCTGAAGGAGATGCCAGCGCTTTCAGCCAGAGCAGTAACTGAGTAGCCTGTTGGTGATATATAATTGTGTGTGCACTCACAAATAAAAACAGCCTGTGACACAAACATAGCAATGACTGCCACTCACTTTCTCATGCTCTAAGCAGGCAATATTCCTTCCTCGCGATCTGCAGTGTCTCCCCCGCCAAGTTTGTGCACCCTGTTAGCAGCCAGCTACAATTTGAACTCCCTGATCCAGGTTTTTTTTCATTGTTGCTGAATTAAGCCGTTGACACTACTGCATTCGTCAAGTTACTCTGCAGTTTTTGAAATATTCCTTTCCCATATCTGTGATTTAAAGGTTCATATTTTCACAGCTACAAGTCTTACGACATCTCTCTTCCCTGACTGCAGTGGGATAGCCAAGTTCAGGGCAGGTGGCCATGGACTGTTACCCTCTGATAAAAGATAAATGATATTACTCCATCTTGAAAGAACAGCTAATCTAGTCCAAGGACTAATCATCACAACACAAGAGAGATGAGCTTTTGCTGTTTACAGAAGTCCCTGTAATGATGTTTGTAGGCAAAATTTCTGCTTCTTTATGCTCTGGGGTTGAAGTTAATGGGAGCCAGACATACATGTCCAAAAGACAATTTCTGAAAGAGCCCTTCAGGAGACATACTGACTATGAAAACATGCTTGTTCTTCTTTTTCAGGTATCACATTGCAGTGATCGTGTTGATTTATTTACTGCCTTTAGTGGTGATGTTTGTTGCATACAGCATTATAGGAATTACTCTGTGGAGCAGTGCGGTTCCAGGCAACCACCTTAACAGAGTCCGCTACGAACACCAAGTTAACGCCAAAAAAAAGGTCAGAAGTGAAACTTAAAAATAATTACCCTCAGCGCACCAGCCCTGCTGGCTCCAATGCCAAAACAGAGCTTGCATTTGATACAAAATCTTGTGGGATTGGGCATGAAAGGTTGACAAAATATTTTGGGCCGGGAGTAAAGGGCATCACTCAGCAAGTAAGAAAAAATTGTGATCTACATGCACCAGCCAGCCTCCAAGGAAGAAAGGCTCACATCGGTAGGCAGTGGGCCACTTCCCAGCAGTCCTCAGAGAGTAAAGCCTGGTGTCCAGTGAATCTGCACGTCGCGAGATAAACCAGGCCCAGGAATAACACACTGGTTTTGTTTTTCTAGTTTGTGAAGACCATGGTGGTAGTTGTGATCATTTTTGCTGTCTGCTGGCTGCCCTATCACATATACTTCATCCTGGGGAGCTTCAAGGAAGACATCTACCAGCAGAAGTACATTCAGCAGGTTTATCTTGCAATCTTTCTCCTTGCTATGAGTTCGACGATGTACAACCCCATCATATACTGCTGTCTTAACCAAAGGTGAGTAGCGTGCACGTGTGTGCACACAGAAAACTAAAATCTCAGTCTGAAAAAGCATAAATCTCTGGAGGTGAGAACAACTGTGATTTTCAACTGCAGTCCATATTCCGGCTAGACAAGTTAATTTATACTCTCCTAATAACGTGAGATTAGCCACACTGTACGAGTGAGATTTTAACTCAATCCTTAAGATTTTCTGCCTCCGAATAAACCACAGGCAGCAGGTGTATGATCAGCACAGCCACATCTGCACCAGTTTCCACATGCAGACTACCTTATTTCCAGGGAAGGAGGGAGGACTCTAATCCCTGCAATGCATCTGCTGACCTAATGCCGGGCTGGCTTAACCACCACTCCTGTGCCACCACCCCGCAGTGCATCCCTGAGCCCCCCACGCAGGCACAGGGCTCATCCCCATGGGGAGCAGGAGCAGCCCTCGGGCGACCTGCCAAGACTCCCGTCCGGGCACACCCGCCGCGAGTGAGCAGCTGGGAGAGCACAACTTCGTCGTGCCAAGAGATGTCTCTCTTGCTCTGCGCTGAGAATGGGCTGCTCTCAGCACGCTGGTGCGGCAGGTCACTGGGCTTGGGGAGCTGCTCTGCCTGCCCTGTGGTTCTCCATGCCAATTCCTGCCAGCACGTCCCCGCTGCCAGACCTCTCCCTAACCCACATCTCTCTCCACCC